AATGCAGCGTGAAAAGTGTGAAGCGTTATATGTATAGAATGCAGCGTGAAAAGTGTGAAGCGCTGGATGCATAGAATGCAATCTTGCTGACTCTTGAGCTTCTGCTTCTGCTTATCTTTGCAAGTGATATTTTTGCCTGTATCCATCCAGTGATTCTCATTAAGGAGATTCCTTAAACTTGATCCAGCTGGGCTGGGATACGTGGAAGCGTGCACATGGCAGGTACTTGGAGATTTGGATATTGCAGCATGTCGGGCTTCCTACTCCAGCCTTGTGGGAAAGACATTTAAGGGTGGGTTCTCTCTTCTCTGTGTGTCTTAATTGTGTTACTAGAATTTAAGCAATGTGATTTTTTTCGAGAGACTGGTTAAATTTAATTTTCTTTTCATGATAAGCTACTGTTTGCCACAGGACTGGGGATGGTGGCTACTATATGCTACCAGCCCCTATTATGATCTGTACATATAAATGATACCAAACATTTCTGAATTTTATCAATAATTATGACAGGAACACACCAAAGTGCTTTGAGACAATATATGGTGGCTGCTTAGTGAGCTGGAAGCTGTGACTGGCTTCTCCAGTCAAGTGTGGTGTGTGGTGTGTGGTGTGTGGTGTGTGTTTATTAAAGAACAGGGGCTAAGAAGCATAGAGGCCATGAGTGTTTCTTGGATACTCATGATGTCCCAGGCAAAGAACTAGTTATTGGTAGCAGTGAAACAGCTGCTCTGATGGTCCTAGCTAAAGTGGGGTGGGAGGTGGGGAAGGGCCGGGGTGGGGGAGGTGGGAGCAGGAGGGAGCCTAGGAGTTCAAGGCCTGCCTGGGGACAGTTTAGATAAGCCTTGCTTCCTCTAGGGGAAAAAAAAATGCAGGAAGAATACTGAAGAAGCCTTTGCCCTCAAGTGCCTCTGCCTAGTAGGACAGCTAATCAATTGACAGAATCAGGGTTGAGATGGGCAGGGCATGGTGGGCGTGCCCTGGAATCCTGTAGAAGGAGCCTGACTCCATCCTCAGCAGCCAGGAGGCCTTCTGTTCCTGCTGAGACCTGAAGGGAGTGGAAATTCTTTTGGAAAGCAACATTCCAACTGAGGAATGACTCCTGTTTCCTGACTTTGGAGCTGGGCCTGCAGGAAGTGAGAACGGCTGGCTAAGGAAACATAGCTGGACTGGTCATGGCACGAGTTTGGGCTTCATCCAAGAGTTTGTTTGGCCTTGGTCCTGAGCGCTATGGAACAACAACAACAACAAAAAAAAAATGGTTCTTTGTAGGGTACAGTGTGCTTGGATATGCATATTTGGCATATAATTTTGGTTTCCGTGTGGCCGATGGATGGAGGGAACCAATTAGGAAGCCACTGTGGTGCCCACCAATTAGGTGGCTGTAGCCTCTGAGGGATTAGAGTGCGGAAGAGGCGGGAGGCGATCCCAATCTAGTATCAGATGGACTCGACCATGGCTCTCTCTTGCTTGGATGGGGGGGGGGGGGTGGTGGCTGATTGGGCCACTAGATTAAAGGGAGCTAGTGAGGGTAAGGGTTTCTGTTCTAGGACTGGTCACACAGCTCAGTGCACAGCCACTTGCTACTAAGTGATGACTCAAGATTTATCCCTGGACCCCATGGTGGAAAGAGAGAACCAACCCCAGAAAGTTATGTTCTGACCTACAATGTGCACACACACACACACACACACACACACACACACACACACACACAAATAAAGCTATTTATAAAAAGGTTTCTATTCTAGTCACAGTTAATTTATAAATAGATTTTGAAAATATTTTAAACTGCTTGACTGAAAGAATATAGATTATGAGTGAATGGTGGAAGCTATAAAGACACAGGCTTGATGTCTGAATCTTGGTAGCCCTCCTCCCCCAGCACTGTACTAGATTCCTTGTAAATGGGCTCTTTTTAGAATTCCTTTTCGCCTAACTGCAAATGCAATGTAAAAGTGCTTTATCACGATGCCGTTTGCCTTAATGAAATCACGATATGGGAGATTTGAAACCATTGGCGAGTACTTGGCGTTGGGCTGTATCAGGACTCCGGAGCTTGGTAACAGCAGAGAGGTGCCATCTGGAATTAAATTCAGCGTAGCTCCTTATCCATCTTCCTGTACTCTAGATGCTTGTGTAAGCAGCGGCAGGTGGACCAGCCTTGGAGGGTGTCCTTTTATATTTGCACTGGTTGGAATCATGAAAGTCATGCAGACCACATTTTTCCCCCCTGTCAAAAAAATGACATTATAAATTGTGGCTAGTCTTTGCTTCTTTCTTTTTCTTTTGGAAACAGAGTCTCATTGTGTAGCTCTGCCTGGCCTGCCTGCCACCATGCCTATCTGTGTGACTTGAGTTTCTAAGCCACTCTGCCACTGCTGTGTATTCTGACTGTTACGGTAGCGCGTGTCTGTGATTCCAGCACCAAGGAAGCTGATAAGCGAGGCTCAAGTGCTAGTCCAGCCTATTGGCCCTGTCTCAGAAATAAATAAATAAATAAATAAATAAATATTTTTGCCATGAGCAACAGTAGTGAAGCCATACTGTCAGAATAATTGTTATCAAAGGAAACTGTATTACTGAAAAAAGAAATGTTTGTCTTATCCTTCTGAACCTGAACAACTAGTTTGATCATAGTAAGAGGGTAGTGTGGACAATCTGGGGAACCGGTTGGTGCCCAGGGCCGCAGAGAATACTATTCATTTAAAATCAAAACGTCTTCTTGATGACGGGCCTCGCAGTTGTGACTATAATTGTTTCAAAGACTTAGGAGTGAGACAGTGGAGGTCACCTCCTAGGGCACAGCTTGACTTGGAAGCCAGGAGGATTCTGTGAAATGGACCTCCCCTGGGTGGAGCTGAGTAGGAGCCTGGGCTACACAATCCTGGGTGAGCTCTGGCCTCTGCAGAAGGCTGCAGAACTTCTCTCCTGGGCCATCTGGCTTGGGTTGCTGGGGTGGGGAGGGAGTGGGGCCAAAGGAAGGGAATGTGCCCTTTGCTCAGGGGAGGGCGTGGTTTTGGACAGGTCACAACCCACAGCCTATAAAGTGCTCTCAGTTTTTGGACCAACATATTTTTTGCTGCTGGAGTCACAATGAAGGCCATTCAAGAGTTTTCAAAATTAGATTTATAGGTTTTATTTGATACCAGAGTATATGTCTATATGTATACCATGTGTGTGCGTTGTGCTTGTGGGATCAGAAAAGGCCGTCGGATCCCCTGGAACTGGAGTTAATGGGTGGCCAAGAACCACCATGTGGTTGCTGAGATAGAAGCCTGGTGCTCTGCAAGAGCAATAAGTGCTCTTACCTCGAGCCACCTCTCTGCCCCCCCCCCCAATCAAAATGTTTTAACCCTGAACTTTAATCTCATTTCTCAGAGACTTGTTGTTCTGATGACCTCTGTCAGTAGCTCCCGAGTCTTTGGCATTCATGTTCGCTGCTCTGTAATTCACTGTGACCTAGCCCTGTCCTGCGTGCCCGGCAGCTTTCCAGGACCTTGTTGCTTTCATATTGTGCTGCCTTTTCCCTAGTTCGTCCTCAGGGGGCACTCGGTTCTATTTATGTTATTGGTGTGTTTTTACTGAGAGGAAGTTTAACATCACCCATCTGCAACCTTTGACCTAGACTTATCCATTTGTTATATTGATACTTCCTTGCCAAATAATGCAAATAGCATCATTTAGTAGCAAGAGAGTCATAAGGCGTTAGGAAAGTCATAAGGCATTAGGAAGCCGAACAAAAGAAAGTATTTTCTGTAATTAGGACATAACCCATTTTATAAAAGGATGGTCTCTAGTATATCTGTGCATATGTCTGTGTTTTTGAGAAGCAATCGTGTCTTCTATAATGTAAGACATGGTTTCGATTGCAGGCACAGAAAACAAGTGCTTGTTGCGTGTGTTGGTGTACTCCTATGGTCCCAGCATTCAAAAGGAAGATGAGAATTGCACGTTTGAGGCCAGCTTGGACTTCAGAGTGAGGTCCAGGAGATATAACTGAGATACACCACTCTTTCTGTAAAAGAAAAATAAAAAGCAAATACTTACCCTCCTCCCCGCTTCATTTCAGAAGAAATGGACAGTCTTAATTTCGTTGTTTTGTTTTCCTTGAGACAAGCTCTCACGGAGCCTAGCTAGCCTCGGACCTGCTCTATAGGCCAGGATGATTTTGAAGTCACAATGATCCTCCTACCTCCACATTCCACGTCCTGGGATGACAGGTGTGTGCCACCACGCCCAGTCTGATGATAGACAGCATTATTTCATTACGTGACGAAACGTGCATTGCTTTCTTACCTGACACGCACGCCATCTTTTAGACCACTTCCGGTTTGCAAAGTACCTTCTCCGTGGCCTGCGTAGGAGTAGCGTGAGGTCCCTCGCTGATGTCTGCAGAGCATGCGCTCGACCGAATTTCCCTCCTCCAAGGCAGGAGTACTTCCTTTCACCCTGCATGGTCCCCCTTTGGGCTGTGGAGGATTCTGGAGACCAGTGTCATGTATGATACAGCGACCTGGCTAAGCGATGGAAGGGTTGCTGATAGCCTGACTTCAGAGCTAGCCTCCTTTGCTCAGGGTACCTAAGTTTCCTCGTATCCCCTTCCGGGGTCATGTACTATCTATCATAATAAAGGAGGTGAGGGATGCCTCTGTCCCCACGAAGGCATGGCTCACCTGGGAGCCTAGAGGGTTCAGCATCACTGCAGGCTCCACCCCCTCCCTCTCCATCTCTAAGCATTCCCAACATTAGGCGCTGAAACATGCGCCGCTGACTTGTACCCCGTCTCTCTCTCTCTGCTAAACTACATGGGCACAGTTCCCTCTGAAACACAGTGTACCACTTTCCTAAAATGTAATCATATAGTGTGAAAAAAATACACGACGTGGGCTCTCTGGACTTTAATTGGCAGTGCCTTCTGGCACACGGTGCAGTTTCCCCGCTTTTCATCACCTTTTCATAAGTTAAGTCTGTTCTAAAGATTTTCTTTTTCCCCAGCCAAGCATTCATTAGTTTCAGATTGAGTTGCCCTGGTTGCCACTGTGATGGATTCCTTTCCTCCCCTCGGCAGCCAGCTCCAGAGGAGACGGAGAAGGAGCCACATTGATTCGGCCCCATCCTTCTGAGAAGCACTGCTGGGCAGTGCTGCTGTCTTGTAGGGACCATTTTGCAGTGTTTCTCCTCCATCTTCCCATGATCCCCTACAACAGGGCTGCTGTGTGACATTGCCTCTGTCTCGGTGTCCCCAGACACCGGTGTTTTTCTTCTCCTCCAGAATTCTGCACACAGTAGGAGTTTCAGATAGGCTTCCATAAGTTAAGAATAAAGAAAACTGTGGATGCTTCAGGTCCAGTGAAATTCTGTAGATACAAACATGTCTGTCTCTGTCAGACTGAGCCCACTTTTCTCTGTTAATGGAGGGTCAGTGAACCAAGTGTGTTAGATGCTTCCTTAAACACACACACACACACATATACACACGTAACTGTGGTGTGCACATAGCTCAGGGTATACATCAGGACGTCTGAGGGTACTTTGAGGTATAAAGCAAACCCATACAAGCAGATGGGCTACATTCAAGGAAGGAAGCCTGGGACTTGCTTGCAGGTTTGGCAGCTGCTTAAATGTGCAGTGAAAAGACCGGCTTTCTGCAGCCCTTCTGCAGGATACACACAACACACACCGTCCAACCGCATAGCCCAGGTGGACCTTGAATTTGCCTCCGCCTTTTGAGAGACGGCTGGTTACAAATGAGGACACCGTACTTGGTTTGAAAACGATTTTTTTTTATTGTGTTCAATGAGAAGGTTCTTGTAGGAAGATAAAAAGAGCATGTGTTTTGTGAGGCAGTTTCTCTTGAGGGAGCAAAGTCAGCACGGGTTGGCAGTCCCAGAGGGTCCACTGGGGAAGCACAGGTAGGAGGGGGAAGGGTGTGCAGAAGGCTGACAAAAGCTCAGCTTCCCCCCCCCCCCCACACACTATCTAATATGTCCCTTAAAAACTGCTGCTACTTTTCCATGCAGGTAATGTGAATGAGTGGGGGTCATTTTTGGACAGTCTCTGTGTGGGCGATACCGGAGGAACAAAAACCTTGTGGTGTGAGAGTTCTATTTTCTCACTGTTACACAAAGGGGGGGGGGTGTCCAGAAATAGAGCCAGAGCGTCCTCCCTCTCCCATCTCCAAATGAGGCAACAGAAGAGAAACGTACCTGGGACTCACCTGTGTGCGGATCCGACAGAGAGGAAATCTGATCTTCTAAACTGCGGCTAGGGTGCAGGTGCAAGTCGCTGGGGAAAGGGGCAGAAATAAGTGTGGGGTGTTGATATACATGACTCTGTTTTGTAAACTAAAGTGTTGTCGTCTGTCCCCTCTCTCCTCCCCCCCCCCCCCACAAGCACATTTACTACATGTTTGGGACTGTTTTCAAAGCAAATGTTTCCTTACAGAGGTTATTAAGTCATTGGTTACACAACCTTGGCAGCCTTCTGGTGGTTTTCTTTTGTTTTGGGTTGCTGTTAGCCTGAACTAAAATGTTTACAGGCTGGTTGGAATAGGCTAGATTATGTTAACCGAGGAATGAAGTGTGAAACTAAAACCTGAGAGAGCAAAGTGTGGATTTGCCCTGAAGGTGACAGATAGTGAGGCTTTTAAATTGACCTGTAACCCCTCTGGGAGAGAGGACGGCAGCGGGGTGTCAGCCTTCCTTCCGGGGGCTCTGAATTCCACAAAGCAGGGTATCTTTGTGGTTTCCCACACTGAGGAACAGCCCACAGATACGCTGCCCTTTTTCCTGGGAGTAGACAACATGGAGGCATGGAAACGTTTGTGTTGCTCCATCTCCTGTTTGAGGGTCTGGGGATTTGTGCTCCGACCTTCTGTGGAGCAGGGATAGAGAGGCAGGAGGTGGGGGGCTAAACACAACCAGTCATCCTTCAGCAGACTAAAAGTGATTCGCAAGTCAGTCCTCTTCATAGTGTTCTCTTCTTGGCGACTATTCCTGCTTATTGCAAAAAGGAACAATAGTGATGACGATTTTCTTCTTTCTAGAACATGGTGCTAAGCCCAGAAATTGAGTCAAAGTCCTTGCTAGGTTTTCTGCTGTCAATTTCCTAGAGTCTCGTAATGAGTGGTGGTTGTCTGAAAGCATATGTTCCTCCCATATTGAGTAGGAGAAAAATCGCTTTATCCTAAGATTGTCAGAGAGTAAAGCAGACTTCTTTTGCTAGCCCACGTGTTTTGGAAGCCCGGGCAGCAGCCGCTTGTCATTCAGCCACCGTGCTTACAGAGTTGCCGGGATCTGAAGGAACAGTTTTGCTCTAAACAAGATCAATGGTTCTGCTGCAAACAAGATCACAGAAGGACCCAGAAAGCCCCTGATGCTTGCTGTGGTCTGCCTTTGTTCGCTTTGCTCCTCTGTGAGCATGCTCCTTGCCTCTGCTGTTGGTGGCAGGTCCCTGAGGATCCAAGGGTAGTTCCTTTCTTCTGCAGCCAGGTATCAGCCGCACATCGCTGGCCTCCACTACAAAGGAGGCTCTGTCAGAACCAGCCATGGCCTTTTCTTGCCTTACCATCACTGTGCTCTTGTTACGAGCCGCCTCCTCACTCATTTTGGGGGGCTTGCGTCTTTTTTTCCTCCGTGTAGATTCCAGCTCTGCCTTGGGTGGATAATTGGCTTTCTCTCTGTCCCCGAAAATAGCACAGTGCTGCTGAAATAAGACATTCTGTAAGACAATAGCCAGGACCAAAGGCTTTAGTTCATTCTTAGTAGGTCTTCTCACTAGATGTCAAGGGTGTGTGTGTGTGTGTGTGTGTGTGTGTGTGTTTGCACATGTACTACTGTGTGTGCGCATCTGTGCTTTCTCTTTTAAGTTATTAGTATTGCGTGACACGTCTTTCATAGAAATGCCTCAAAACAATAATCAGTTGGCTACCTGGGCCTTTCTGTTTACCCTTGAGCTGCCATCCCTTTGCCCACATAAGAAACAATAGAAAGGCTGGCAAGATTGCCTAGCGGTAAAGTGCCTAGGCCCTAGGCTCATTTTGCTGCAAGGAAAGAGGGAGAGAGGATGAGAGGAAGGAGAAATCCTTTTAAACATTGAGGGACTAAAAATTATATAAAACAATTAAGTCAACCCAGGTCCTTGTTGTGTCCCAGTTCATTCTCTACCGTACACATGCACAGAAAGCGTGGTTGTAGAACACGATTGTTTCCCTCCATCTTTATGTAGAGTCTCAGGGCACTACTAGCATGGGAAATTCACACAGAGTTAGAAAAGCTGTCTTACACACTTGACTCAGGAATGATTTTGCACGTTTGTGTGTGTGTGTGTGTGTGTGTTGCTTTTGAGACCGGATTTTATGGCCTTCAATGACCCTGAGCTTGCTCAATAACAGAGACAGACTTTAAACTCCCAGTCTTCTTGCTTCTGCATGCTGGACTTACAGGAGAGCACCAACAGGCCCAGCTGGGAATAACATTCTTAGGTATTTGTATGACAGACTTTAAACTTTTAAAAAATCATAACCGTCTTCCTTAACGTTTGACATTCTGCCTTAAGCATGATTTACTGAAAGATACTCGGTTACCGTTCAGTTGTATTTAGAAAGCACCAATTTACTAGACGGCCGTAAGGAGCTGCTGTGAAGAAGGGTTTCTAAGGACACAGTTGGCAGTATCTTGTAGACCTCTGTCACCTTTGCCATGGTGTAGCTGGTCACATCTCTCCTGGTCATCCTGGTCTTCTGGTCCCCGACAGTCCCTGGAGTCAGATTGGCTCCTCTCAGGACCTCAGAAGATCTGCAGTGTTACACCCTCATGAAAGGCTTTTCCTAGACATACAACCCAAACAGGAGTGTGTTGTTTACTTTTCCTGCCTTCACTTCATGTCCTTTCTTAGTGTTTACAACAACCAGATAGCCAGGCGTGCTGACATACGTTATTAATACCAGCACCTGGGAGTCAGAGGCAGGAGGATCTCTGTGAATTCGAGGTCAACCTGGTCCACAGAGTGAATTCTAGGACAGACAGGACTATGTAGAGAGTTCCTGTCTCAGAAAAAAAAAAAAAAATCAAACTAAACAGACTGTAGCCAACAATGATGGCTTCTCCCCCTCAGACCGGGGAGAAAGAAATCTCCATACGCATTTCTGCACCTGAATTAAATAAACTCTTCCACATTGGCTAACTAAGTAAAAACAGAACAACACTCATTTCTGTTGGTTACCAAGGTAGCAATTGGGGAAAGTCACTGGGAGACCTGTTTCTATCAATACCCTTAATCTGGATGCTAAGTGGTAAGACAGCTTGCTAAAGTATTTGAAAGTTGGGTTGCAGACAAAGGGCTTTCTTGATTGGCTGTCCTCCATCCTCCTTTCCCCTCTTTGCCTGCTTAGGTAAACAGGAGTAGGTAGAACTGCATGAAGAAATCAATATAGAATTTTCTCCTCCCGGGAGAAGTATTTTTGAGGAGAAAATCGGTGCCGTACACTCTGGCTCCCATCTTCCCTAGAATATGCTCCCAGAAACAGCTGAGACAAAAGCGAAGAGCTTGATCTAAACCAAAAAGGAGACGGGGAAGGAAGGGGTACAGCTTTCAGAGTCAGACATTAAAAACTCCTTCTAGTCTGAGGTCTGTGTCAACAAACTTCCTGATAGCAAGGCCCTCCTTAAGCCACACCTATGTCTAGATGGGACAGTTCGCAGTCATGATTGGAAATGGAGGGAATCAAAGGTTGCCTTTGAGTTCTGTTGTTTCTCGGGATCTCTGAGCTTACCCAAGACCGACAGCCGTTGGTGGAGGCTTCTCAAAGTGGGCCAATCTGCAGTGTGAGCTGCCGTTGAGCTGGAAAGGACAACGGCCTTCCTCCATGTCAAAGACTTCTGAACTGAACTTTGTTTCTTTTAAGCTGATGGCCAGGAAACTGATGGGGTGTGTGTGTGGGGGGGGGAGGTGTCTGTGTGAGGTGGGAGGGGGTGCACGCACTGAAATCCTGTGCGATGCTGGAAACTCACTCACCTTTGGTCAGAAGTAAACTCAGATAAACCTGGCAATTGGAACGTAGTTCTGCTTTTTAAAAATAAGCAAGCCTGTTTTTTTGTCAAGAGAGAAGAGGCTGCTGGAGAGGTACATAAGATTCAGGGTTGTCCTAAGGTTGCCAGACTGGGTGTGTTGAAAATTTAATTTGACTTTAGGCTACCCCTGACTTCAGGGGAACTAGGGCAAAGGCTGCTTTGTAGTGTGAGGCAGATCCTGCCACACAGATAACAAAGCTATTCTCCTCTGCAGCCAAGTCACCGCTGGGTTCTGCTGTCCTGAGAGAATTTGACTCGGTGAGGGGGTGGGGAGGCTTGTGGGTAACTCAAGCACACCTGCTCCTCCCCGCTATCTCTTTTGGACTAAAAAGAAAGCGTAGTGTCCATCCTAAAAGTTCCCATCCACGCGTGTCTGGAAGAGTTCCTGCTTATGCTTGCCTTCCTTAAGTACAAGATGCCCGCCTGCCTTAGGAGTTGGCTCTCAGGGTTTCATTACTGTAACCCTTCATCTGCCCCGCCACACCCTTGTTCTTCCCTGAGTGCTTTGTTTTGGTGGGAGACAGGGCCTCATTCTGTAGCTGTGGCTGAACTAGAACTCGATCTCCATAGACCAGGTGGCCTCAGACTCTCAGAGATCTGTCTGCCTCTGCATTCCAAGTGTATGAATTAAAGGCATCGTTTTATTTTGTTTATTTCGGGGAGCAGGATTGTGCATAGCCTACCTAGGCAGAGCTTCCTGCTCCCGCCTCCTAGTGCTGGGATTTCAGGCACGTGTCACCGCACCTTACTCTTAATGCTTCTTATATCATTTTTCTTTAATGGTAGCCCTGTCCTTCCTCACCTGAAGAATAAGCCATGAGCCAGGACTTACCCTTGAAGAAGTAAACAGAAGTCTGTGGGTCAGGGCAGCAGAACTTTCTTCCCTCCTTGCCCAGGCTGCCTTCTGACTCTCCTGCGCTGTGTGCCCTTGCCAAGTTTGCTTCTGCACATTCTCTCGTCTTCGGTCGTGCCCTGAGTTGTTTGGAAGGAGCACTCCTGCTGGCGTCTGGTGCATCACTTAAAATAAGAGTCCCAAAGGCTCCGCCCAGGCTCCTGGCTACCCCGGGAGACAGGCTATATCTGCTGCAGAGCTGCTGGCAGTTCCATATCTAACAAACAACCTTTTGTGAAGGTCTCCTTGCCCCAGGGCATCTGGGCACAGTTTAGCTCAAGGCTCTGGATTACTCTGAAGTCCTCTAAACTGAAGCTCTTGGACATCAGCAGAGCTATGGAACAGAGCATGCTGAACCCGGGCCATGACCAGGTAGAACGGGTTCTCACATCATGGGTCTACCTGTTCAGGACATTCTGCTCTGGGTGCTGTGACTGAAGGAGGAAGGGAAAATGGCCACCATCTACATGTGACATGATGTTCCTTCCAGAAGCAAGCATGTGGACTCTGATAGAAGGGACCCTTCTGAACTTATTCAGGTTGGGGCTAGAAAGAAAAGTGGTACTCCCTGCTCCTGCAGGCTTTATCTCTTTCAAGCCCAGCCCACACAATTTATCTGAGTGTTTTCTCGGGACTCTTTAAACTAAAGCCTTTGATGCTCTGTAGGCCTGAATGACCAGTTCCAGCTTGAGACACAGCCAGAATCCTGTAGAAGATGGTTTTCCTCCTAGGCAGCTGATACCATAATCCCTATCCAGGACTTGCTCCGTCTTGCACAACTGAAACTCGGTACCCACTATACACTGACATCCCTTCTCCTGCTTCCCTCAGCCCCTGCCATCTACCATGTCTTCTCTCTGTCTCTATGAAGGGGACAACAGTGAGTGCCACACTGTAGCGCACCATGCCCGTCTGCGCTCTGTGCTGACATACAGTTTGTGAACCAGGCAAGGGGCTAGAGATTGAAACACACAGAGACACACAGACAGAGACGGGTCATCCTTGAAATAGGAATGTCCACGTTAGTGTGTCCAGGGGCAGCTTATATAAGGATCCTTAACTGATAGCAATGCCCCAGCCAAACCCACCAGAAACCACTCTCCTGCCATCAGGAACTCCTGAGGGTCTCATGTTCAGAGCAGCTGTAGGCACTCAGATCAGGAGAAAACAAGTTGTTTACAAGAAATTCAGGGTCTGGGGGTTCACAGCTCCCAACAGCACACGTGGATGTAGGCACGTGTCATTTGTCTTCCTGAGTCTGGTTTCTTTCATTTAGTGCAATAGAGAATTCATCATTTAGCTACCTAAGCATGAACACCCGGGATCAGCCGGGGCTCCATAATAGTCATTGCACAGCTGACTCAGGCCTTCCAGGCAGTCCCTTTGGGTGTTGCTTGGTCCCCTGTGCTTGGCTTTCTGGTGTGCCAGTGTTCTGAGCCTTTGATGTGGTTCTTTCTAGCCCTAAACACTTAGGCAACCTCTAAACCTCGCAAGTGTGGGCATGATTGACAAGTCTCACAGCTAAGTAAGAAGCCAGCCCTCCTTGTCTCCCCCTCCCACCACCAGGCAGCTCTTAGGTGAGTGAAACATTGTACCTAGGACGCTAATTATTTACCACCTTCACCTCAAAGTGGTCTAGGATGGTGTTTTCCATTTCCTCGCAGCAAATAGCCTCTTATGTGTCTATTCCCTAGGAATGCATCCAATCCATCGAGGACTCTGGCCTCTTTAACCTTTTATTATCTTCTGGGGTGGTGGCGGTGAAACTGCTTCGAGTTTATTACTCCCTTTGTAAAGGACAAATCCCTTTTATTTTTTTAACACTATCTCCTCCTGCAGGTGGGTCTAACCTCTTGACATTTTCACAGTTCACCCTCAAGAGCTACACAGTCAACTCATAAGACATCAAAAATACAAATCTCATGACATTTTAAGGGAGTCTTCAAATTTGTGTTGTGCCACATTCGGAGCTGCCTGTCTTAGCTGTAGGTAGCCCTTGTGTGGTGCACTGGACTAGAGCTTTGGAATTGCCTTGTTCTGGAGTTCTAGGATGTGGGAGTTCAGGGACCCTCTAGTGTCAGATGTTATATCGTAGATCACCCTCAAAGATATGATGCTAAGTGAAAGAAACCAGACACAGGAAGACAAGTGACACACGCCTGTATCCTTGTGTGGCACTCAGTGTTGTCCCCTTCATAGAGACAGAGAGAAGACATGTTTGATGTTAGGGGCTTTGGGAAGCAGGAGAAGGGATGCTAGTGTACAGTGGGTACCGATATAGAAGACAGGTAGATGGCAGGGGCTCAGGGAAGCAGGAAAAGGGATGCTAGTGTACAGTGGGTACCGAGTTTCAGTTGTGCAAAATGAAATAAGTTCTGGAGAGGGATTATGGTGTCAGATGCTTAATAGAAATACACTTAGTACCACCAAGCTTCCTAACGAAAACCTGGTGGCTGTTAGGTACACTCGTATGGTGACGTAAGAATAAAATTCTAAAGGAAAAATATCACATTTACTTATGTATGACATAATGACTCAGGCAGATGTCATTGCTTTTACTTGGATCCTTTTTATGCAAATTGAAAAGACATAGGTTTCTTTCTTTTTTTAAAGCAAAATATTGCATGGCCATTTTATTTTCTGGATTCTACCCAATGAGTGTAAAGCCTTGTTTGGCCCTTGGTAACAGTTACTGTCATCATGCCTACTAGTCAGGTGTATCTCCCCTCAAAACATAGCTCCCGTCATGTGTTTTAGGGTGAAGGAGACACAGCCATGCTTAGGGAGGGGTGAGTGTATGGAGTTAGAAAAAGTCAGATGGCGTGAAAAAGTTGAAAAGCCGCGAGTTCTGTCCCTGTGGCTTCATTCAGAATTCTCCTTTCCTTAGCTTCTGTCTCTTTCTGGAGAAACCGTTCGAGTCCTCTTGCAGGATGCACGTCGACTCTCTGTGGGTGTTAGAGCCTCCTGGGGGACAGAGTGTGAGTGCGGCTGTCTGGGCGTTATTAGAAAGAAATCAGTAGAAATTTAAATCAGATCATTTGAAAATGTAGTCACTCGCCGCTTCTGCAAACGGTCTTATGTGGTAGATACATAAGCACTGACCTTTCCTTCGAATGGGTCACATCACTCAACGGACCATGAGATCACCTGTTTCTGTTCACAGACAGCGCAGCTCAGAAGACTGTAGAAGCCGCAGCAGCGGCCTTATTAGTGCATTTTTGTCTTAAGCCAAAATGGAAAATGATGAGTACTTAACACCCTGTAGTGCTGACAGAATGTTCCTTCCTTAAAATCTTTAATCTCAGCTGGGCAGAGGTGGTGGTGGTGCATGCCTTTAATTCCACACTCTCTGTGAGTTCAAGGCCAGCCTGGTCTACAAGAGCTAGTTCCAGGAAAGTCGGAACTGTTACACAGAGAAACCCTGTCTTGAAAAACAAAACAAAAAAAAATCTTTAATCTGGATATAGTAAGACAAAAAATAAAATGTTATTTTAAAAATACTGTATAGCTGGGGTTGTATCTCAAGGCTATAGCACTTGGCCTGCTATGCACAAGGCCCTGAGGTCAATCCCAGGAACACCAGACTTCAGTTAGACAGCCCACTTGTTGACCTCAGAGGTCTAGGGTATCACCATGCCCATGACTGGTGTGTTGGCAAGATGTGGTTAGGATTCACGTGCTGTGTCCATCATGAACATAGCAAGAGCCCTCAGTTGAAAACGTGAAGAACTCCCTGCCCTTTCCTTTGCTTATTCTCGGGCAAATTCTGTGTCGTTCATAGAGGGCTAGCCTGGGCAATTATCGAGTTCAATGAGATACTAGCCATTTCTATGTTTTGAATTGCTGTCAGTTAGAGAGATGTTGCTTTTGCCAGTGCATGCCATATCCCTGCCCCTGAATGTTCTTATATTTTTACATTCCTTCCCATATCAAAATAAATGTTAGGTCCTATGTACGTCCATGACATACACAAGCTGTGTTATTTATGGTGCAGAATTAGAATGTTGAGGCTGGAGGGGGGAGTAGTGAGAGCCACAGCTTCCATCGTGTTCTCTGATATCCTGTAGTTTCTTCTGGGAAAGAAGGCCAGGTGATGGCCATCTTCCTCTCAGCCTGAAGGTAATCTGAGTTTGGAGACCGGTCACGGCTAGCCAGCCTGGCAAATAAACCAAACAAAACCCCCTTTTTATTCTGAAGGGGGAAAGAAGATTTGAGGTTAGATCTGGCTTCAGCAAAACCATTAATAGACCTTACTTTAAGAAGACCAAGTAGGAGGGCCTAATGGGTTGCCCCTGGGGATAAAGCGCTCGGTGTGCAAACATAAAGGCTAGAGTTCGGGGCCCCAAAACCCATGTAAAAGCTGGCAGGTGTGGTGGTTGCCTGTAATCCAATGCCTGGGAGGCAGATAGTGGGGATCTCCTGGGCAAGCCAGATAGCTAGGCTGTCCAGAATTGGTGAGCTCCAGTTCAGCAAGGGACTCGGAGAGTAATTGAGGAAGGTAACTCATGTTAACTACGTGCCTCCACATGCAGACACATACATGCATATCCCTCCATACATACACACAAGTATGCTTACATAGTGTGTCTACGTACGACGCTAAGCCATATTCATGTGCCGGTCAGTCATGTGCCTAGCTGTAAGTTTGAAGGTATTGGTGCTAATGTCTTTGTCTTCTCTTGACAATGGAGGACAAAATAGAACAATCTTTCCTTGCTGGAAATGAGAGCTCATCTGAATGTTTCTGAACCGAGCACTTGGGTTTCAGTGCAAAGATTCAAATCAGTGAAAAATACCAGTGGATTTCCCGGGTTCCAGGGTTCCAGATGTATGGCCCCTTCGTGAATACGCGGCTCCTGCATGCACTTTATGCTTCGGTTTTCTGGCCTTTGTTGCTTCTCAACGAACATGAGAGGCTCCATTTGCTAAACATGAGAGCCCACTTGGGATATCTGTTAGGATAACTGGGTCAAAACCTATTCAAGGGTCACTGCTCGGGTTTTACTAGCTTGTTTTTAATTTGGGTTATTGTTTAAAGAGAGTGTAGTCTTTTCAAAAACCCAGTTGTTTGGTGCTTGGGTGTGGGATACTCTTTACCTCATGTGGAACCTCATTTGTTCCGTGACCAACACATCTCAACTCTCGCCACAGGGAGGGACTTAGCCAGCTTTAGGCCACACCTGCAGCTTGTGTATACAGGCAGAAAAATTCACACTGTGGAGTGCTTTGTCAGGCTCATTAAGTGACTTATTAGAAACGTATACATTGTTTCTAAAATTCCCTTTGTCAGAAAGTGTGCAAAGACTCAGCTGCCCAATGAAATAACCCCTTTGGAATTGAGCAAAAATACCTCAAAGTCTGTCTGTCTGTCTGTGCTGTTGCATTTTCCACGCCCCTTGGGGTTGCCTGTGAGTGGCGTGGGCCAGCTTGTCCCTAGGAACAGCGAGGCTCGACAGGGCATGACTTTCTGGAGCTGAGAGGACTGTTGATGAGGATGATGCTGGCAGGAGACAAAGTGAGTGGCTGCTTAAGCAGAAAGACAAACAGGAAAATAATTAATAGCCAGGAGAGACATCTGCCAGAACCCGAACATCCAAA